CGTCGGTCTGATAATTTTTGTATTTGTATTTAAAACAAAGTAGGTTTCATATGAAGTCAAATAATTTTATTGCAATATAATCTTTTTTTAAATGAATTGAAATTTTTGAGTTCGAAAATTAGTTCTTGGAAAATTAAAACATTTGCATATTTTAAATCAGTTAACATGGTATCAATCATTGTGTCTCATTAATCTTTGCATTCGGCGGCAGGTCCTCCAATTTTAAGCTTCTCGCAACAGTTTTGCCTGGTTATAAACCAATCTAAAAATAGAGGAGAAGACAGTAATAAATATAGAATTTTCCAATTAGCTGAAGTATTTAATTGAGTCTACTTACTAGTACGCGGCCTTGATTGGCAGTTAATACTGCGTGAAGCACACTTAGAAGCTTGGTCCCCTACCACGGCCTAGTTGGCCTCCAAGTTGGACGCGTAGGCCTCCAAGTAGGCCTCCAAGTAGGTCTCCAAGTTGGGCGATAACCACCACCACCCTCTGGATCTTCAGGCTGGGCTTGAGTCATTGCTATAGTGATTAATAGCACAACTCCAAAAACTGGAATTCAACAAGTTAGTAGGAACATTATATATCGCGACCTAAGAACTTACGGAACACGAAGGAATGCCTGAACCACATGTTTTGATAACTTGATGATTTCGAGTTTGAAAACGGAAACAACTGCTAGTCAAACAATTGCGCCGACGTACTTTTATAGGAGAATTGAAATCAGCAAACAAGTGTTCTTCAGATAACACTTGCAAGTTTTTTAACAATTGTATACAATTTGAACAATACATATAAGAGAAAGGCTGCCTGCGGCGCGTTTTTTATAGCTCAATTGACAACGAAACTACAAAAGATATTTTAAAAATTATTTACAGCGATTCATATAACACGGCCAACGAAACAAAAAAAAACAAGAAAACTGACAGAAGGGGAAAAAAGTTGTTTCACTTAAATTGATGATGAAACCTTAATATAAATAATTCCTCACAGTACCTTACAATATTGTGCAAGGCAGACAGTGAAGAAGGTTACGCCTAAATCAAAATCATAAGTTTATAGTTGGTGTTAATTTCACAATGGGAGAGTATCTTAGGTCCACAGAAATCCAGCTAGCCAATCTAAAAAGTTATAGACGAACAAATTTTGGTTTCCCAATAAGCTTAATATTACAATCCAAATGTTTAAAAGGGTTTTTTCTCGAATTCAGGTTTTTCGACTTAGGCGGTTATTGCTTATGACCACCGATTTGTAGGCGTTCATCAAGAAAGATTGTCCTTATTCTGTCGCCGTAAAGCAAGGACCGCAATGGTTATAGCGGTAGATTTAATGGTTTTAATTCTACTTTGATTTCTAGTGTCTCCGAAAGACTTCACTTGAAGATTTTTAGATGCAACTCGACTCCAGCGAAACCTTGCGGCTTTGTTTTTGCACTAGTATTGCCCATACCGTTACAAATATATATCTCGATTATGAGGCAAATCCGACCATAAATACGATTTTTAGTGATAACTTGACTCCACAGCCACCTAGCGAGCAATTTTTTCGCAAAAATATTTCCCTTCACGTTACCAGTACAAATAATGGATATTAGCCAGATCCGACCATAAATACGATTTTTTAGTAATAACTCGACTCCAGCGCCACCTAGCGTTTTAAGTTGTGACCCTAACTATACAGGGACCCACTAAAACACATAACAAAATTTCATTAAAATTATTTCGGTCGTTTAGGAAAAATTCGCTCACAAACACACGTACCGAAGACATATATATGTATTTATAGATATGTATGTATGTTTGCAATAGATCGGACTTTCCTGATTGGTATAGAGAGAAAATCTCTCAAGTGGGCCACCCGAAATTGGATGGTCAAGATTTTTTCAAACAAATCACTTTATTCGGTTTACGACCATAAAAAAATATAATTTGAGCAATTTTGGAAAATTCGAATTTTTACAAGAGTTAATGTTGTTTACTTTGTTTTTTTGACGAATTCAGTAATTATTTATTATCCACTGATTCATAACATGTAATTTGCTGATTTTTTGCATGATAATAGTTATATAAAAAATTTTTATAAACAAATGGAAATATTTATTACTTCTCGATCACATTTCTCAATCGTTTACACTGAATATTAATTCTTATTCTATAATACATTATTAAAAAAAAAAACACGGAAATTTGCATGCAGTCAAAAGTTATAAATTTTTTTCGCTTGCCTCGCATCATGCATTGCTCGCATTGCGCGTGCCGCAGGATCGTGGTGGGCGCGTGTTATGTAAATCTAAATAATTATACAGGGTGGCGACGAATAACAGTGGCCCAGTTTTTTTTTCTTTTAATAAAAGTGTCCTTTATAGATTTCGCGAAAAAAAGAATTTTATTATTAATTTTGTACTACATATTTCATTTTCATTTTATTAATTAGTTTTAAAATTTTAATCTTTATTTGCATTCGCCAGCTGTGTTAACTTTGGAAGATAAGTACATGCGGCGGCAAGCAAGTATTTTTCAGGTGTATTTTTTTTTTTAACTTTGTATAAAAAAATACAAAAAAAAGATATAATGTATAGGGTTGGTCTAGTGAATGGCCGTCCTAGTCATCAATTCAAAGTTTATTATATTGCTGAGTATGAGGCCTTATGTTGGACAAGAGGGGAGTATAAATAAATTTGTATTCTATGAATCTACTTCTTTTTCTTCTTTTCATTCATACAAAAGTTTTGGAGTAGTTATAAATTTATTTTGTAAACTCGACCGAAAAGCAGGTCGTTTCACTGTACCACCGATTCCGTCACATGCACCTTTACCATGTGAAGTGGCAAAAAAATTCCATTCGGCGTTGACTCCGAAATCTTCTTTGTGCCTCGATCAAATTAAATTTGTTCTTATATTGCGTGCCAGCGCCGTCCGAAAAATATGAATTTTTTTTACATTTCCTGAGCCACATTTTTTTTTTCCAAATGCGCAATTAATTTAGAATTGAAAAAAAGTGTACGCAATGCCAAAGTTGTAGATATGTGGACCGGCCTCTATTCTTTGTTTACATATACATACATACAACATATATATACATACATACAACTTTATTTAAAAAATATTGTATTAAATAATCTATGCTTTGTTTCCGTGTTTTTTGTTGTTGTAAATAATGTATTATAGAATAAGGATTGATATTCAATGTAAACGATTAAAAAATCCGATCGATAAGTAATAAATATTTCCATTTGTTTATAAAATTTTTTTATAAAAATTAAGAGTTTTATACGAGATAATGAGTTTTTGAATAATTGAAACAAAAAGGCTAAAGCGTGTCTAATTAACTAATATCATGCAAAAAATCAGCCAGCTACATGCTATGAATCAGTGGATAATAAATAACTACTGAATTCGTCAAAAAAAGTTAACAACAATAACTCTTGTAAAAACTCGAGTTTTGCAAAATTGCTCAAATTATATATTTTTTTTTGTATGGTTGTAAACCGAATAAAGTTGTTGGGAGTAAATTGTCAAGTTCAACGGAAATGGTGCAACGGAAATTGCAGAAAACCGACTCCAATTCTAATATAAAAATTTAAGATTATCGTTAATTTCGAAATCGGTTAATGTGGTCCAAAGTTATGTGGTAACATACATAAAAAAAAATATTCCGACGAACTGATAACCTCCTGCTTTTTTGGAAGTCGATTAAAAATAAAAACAAAAATAACAAGTAAGAGCAGCGCTGTCTTCGGCTATGCCGAAGGCTTCATACCTTTCATGAACATCTGCAAATTTTACTTTGACAGATTACTGCTTTTGAATACATCTGCATACATCGATAGAGGAGTTAAATACCTATATAAAAAATCGCATCTGAACAATCAGAGGTATGGAAGATATACCTTACATTAGCACCAATCTAAGTGATTTTCACTGCTATGTGATCAGTATGTAAACCGGTAACACAATTTATTGGGTTTAGTTTCCTAGATAAAGGAGATATATCGCAAAAACTGGTATCTGAAGAATCAGTGGTATAGGAGATAAAGCTTATACAGCATAGATTTTGACGATTTTCTCAGTAGACTTGTTATTATTATTTATAAAATATCTTACGAAATTTATCGGTTTTAGCTGTTCAAATAAAGGAGTTTTACAGAAAAATCCCATATCTGAACAATCAGATGTATGGAAGATACAAATATGTTATAGTCACCCGATCCTTGTTATTTTCACTGTAAGTATTCTGTTAATAATGAGTGAAAATGGTGCGAAATTTCATGTTCCTAGCTGCATAAATGGAGGAGTTATGATAAAAGACCTCATATCTGAACAATCAGTTGTATAGGGGCTGCAGGTTATAGTGACCCGATCTTTGTAATTTTCACTGTAAGTATTCTGGTGATAATGGGGGCAAGTACTGCAAAATTTCATGTTCATAGCTGCATAAATGGAGAAGTTATAACGAAAAATCTCATATCTGAATAATCAGTTGTATGGGAGCTATATGTTATAGTGGTCCGATTCTTCTGGTTCCGACAACAATTAATACATTATAAAAATACACCCACCTACCAAATTTTATCCGGATATCTCGAAAACTGAGAGACTAGATTGCATACAAACAGACGGACAGACGGACATGGCTAAATCGACTCAGCTCGACGTCCTGATCATATAAGTATACATTTTAATGGGTCTATCTCTTTTTATTCTGGTACTTACAAACATCGGACCAAAATTATAATACCATTTCATGCTCATTAAAGGTATAAAAATACGTTAAGATAAAGGCAAATACATATGAATATCAGGGCAAGGCATGTTGGATCCAGGTAAATTTAAACACTTTATTTATATAAGGGCAAAGGTGAAGATGAATACCGATATTTTATCGGTATTTTTATCGATTTTGCCATCGACATTTTTATGGATTTTGTTATCAATTTTGTTAACGATATTTTTATCGATTTATATTATTATCGATTATGCTATCGATATTTTTTATCGAATTTGTTATCGATTGTTTGTCGATTTTGATATCGATATTTTGACGGATGTTACTATCGATTTTGTTTTTGATAGATTTAAAAGATAAAAATGAAGATAAGGAAAACAGAATAACATAAATGTAAATAGAACGAACAGTGGTAGAGGTAGGGATCTAGATAGCAAAAATATAAAAAAATATAACCTTAAGCAAAAGTAGATGTAAGTATGTAAGTATGTACTACATAGATACATATGTACAGCTCAGCAACTAAACTTAGACGCATGTCAGTAAATAAAGATTTTTTTTGCTGTGCAAGACAGCTTTTTACTGTCAGTGTCAACAGGGTTGCCACTTTGGTAAATTGTTACCAAAATTTGGTTTCGTAAAAAGGTAAATTTTTTCTCATTTTGGTATGATTTTTGTAGAAGTATTTTGTTGGAAAAATAATTCAAACATTTCGTTTCCGCTTTATTTTTTGTAGTTATCTTTATATTACAAATTTCTTTCCAAAAGTTTAGTCTACTTCATTGCGTTCGTTTTCGAACGCTTTAATTTACACTTTTCATATACGAATGCAGATATAACTATCGAAAAAAGGCGAACATATCGTGCTCCATTCAAAATTAATCTTTAATCATTAATAAGTTGAATCCTGAGAAACTTTTGATTGCCTAAATATTTTTTGATGATGCTTTAAATAAAAGAAAATAATTCATATGTATGTAATTACTCACTATGATTGTTGGCAAAAAAATAAAAAATTAACGCGATTTTTTTATCAATGGAAATTGTTAAATGAAACAAAAAACGGTAAAAGACCGGCGGCAAA